CCTATACAAAATAATGCAAAATAAGTACATGTGTTCTAGTGAACTGTTACAGAACCTAAACATATCATGTTGAAATATTAAGAGGATTCGTATACATACAGATACAAACAGTGTATTATAATTAAAGAATATATGAAAATAAGAATTATTTGTTACTGCTCATTGTTCATGGGATGTGAAATTATTTCTCTAATAAACACGGCGTTAAATTGTTGAGAAAATTAGGTTGTTCCACCGCATAAGTATAAAATTAGAATGTGGAAAAATTGACATGTCTATATAAATTCTGAATTTCAATTCGTATTATTTTTTAGTAGTTGTAAATCTTTGATTATTTTATGATATTGATTATTATAATTATATTAATCAGATAAGAAATAAAAATTACCGCGATCTATAACATATTTTAATTTTCTTGCAGAAACAGATAGAAATAGAAATTAAGAAATATAATTATAATTAAGAAATAGAAATAGAAATTAAAACATTATTAAATGGTATAACGACTGAATGTTATTGGAATATGTTTACATATTATAAATCGTATACATATGTAGTAATACATATTATAAAATTCCATGTTGTACAATAATAATTGACATTTATCTTTAAATGTTAAATTATGCGTCGTCTACAATACACGGAATAAGAAGTAAGAGTAAGAAATCGACGAATCACAGTCGATTATTCTTCTCACATTCGACTGTAATTCATCAATTTCTTACTCTTACTTCTTACTCCATGTATTATAAAAAACGCATTACAGTTTATAGTTACGATTAGATTTTCTTCCGTTTTATGTAATATAATAAAATAAAATTTCCCGTTAAATTGAAAATAAAAGAATCGAAACAACAGATCGCTAACAGAACTGTCAAATCTTTATTTCTAGCTCTCTTCAAAAAAGTTTCATACCTGGGTATCAATCATGAAACTTTTTTCTAGGTTGAAAAGTGAAAAAATTTTTCCATTAACTTCAATGATTAAATTTTTCACTTTTCACTTTCCATCCGAAGAATAAAGTTTCATGATTGATACCCAAGTATGAAACTCTTTTGAAGAGAGCTAGAAATAAAGATTTGACAGTTCTGTTAGCGATCTGTTGTTTCAATTCTTTTGTCTTCAATTTGATGGGAAATTTTATTTTATTATATTACATTTTAACGTTAGTTAAAACATTTTGTATAATAGAGCGTCACGGATAGAGTATAAAGAGCCAAGAACCGTTCTCGTTTCCAGCGCGGCGGCCAAAGATCAATGATCGGAAGATGCAACGGATGGTTTTTTGCGAGGCGTATTGCCAGCTATGTCTTAAGCCGTGAATGACGTGAATAAAGCCTCCTACGCCTACACGGCGGTGCCCTCGGCAAGCGTGCAGTTCCGAACGCGGCGGTATCTTGTCCGTCCATTAAACTTGCATCTGTATCGGTCACGAAGTTCGCCGTCGCGTCGCCGATTGGCCGTTGTATCCTCCAGCGTCGCGAATCATAAGGAAGACCGCTGATGCATGTGCAAGCACGATAATTATTGGCCGTAATTATACACTATCGAACAATTTTCAATTTACGCGATGCATTACAATCGATGAAGCGCATCTCACCGAGTTACCGCCGAGAGAAGCAAATCTTACGCAGACGGCAGATATGCTGCGGGCTTGGATCAGTCGAGACCTCATGTATATAACAATCAATAGTGTTTATTTCAGATTTTTTTTCTCGATACTTTATTCGTAAAATAAGGATCATCTCGAGATTGTCCTGAGAATTTATAATTCAAAAAAAGCTTACTGAGAAATATATTACATGCTGTATTATATTACTATTGAAAAATTAAGAATTCTACCTTTCTCTTCTTTATTATTGTACTGTAATTACTTAAAAAAAAGCAGGATGTGCAAAATGCCATGAAAAATATTAGACGTATAATAATACGTACTTGGTCATTATTATCATTTAATGTACAGCATTGTCTGTACGGGATTGCGGTAGATAATCATGATAACACAGGTAACAAGCTAATACAAAATTAATTATGGCTATCGCAGTATGCACCCACGGCTTGGATTTTATCTGACAATGAGACATAGTTTTACAAACGGGCGGAATACAATGCTGATAGAAACCGTTATTGCAGTTACGCGAGTATCGTGAACCGATCTTGTGCATAACTCATCGGCATTGTGCGCGAGTCGCCGTGAGTTGCAGCTGCGGCGCACATCAATCGGAAATCTAAGCCTAAAGAATCGTCCGTTTAAACTTTTAAAATATTACGATAAGACTTCGATTCACATAGATGTGCAAAAGAAGGAAGAATTTAAAAAGGAGTTAAAAAGGAAGAAAGGGGCGAAGGAGGAGGAAGGGAGGAGAGAAAGAGAGAGAGAGAGAGAGAGAGAGAGAGAGAGAGAGAGAGAGAGAGAGAGAGAGAGAGAGAACCACCGATACCATCAATGAGCCTCTGTCGGCTTTCCTTGCGTGAGGTCACAAGAAGCTTGTGGCTGCTATTGTCAGTCTGATCACGAACTGACCACCTCTACTGCACTCGTGATCGCGAGAGAAGCTGCTTGCGCGCTTATCTCTTGCATGATCCCGACTGAATCCCTGCTACATTTTCCGCACGAATGTTTCGGGCGTTCTGTTGAATTTAATTCCCGATCAATGATGTGTTAATATATAAATTACTCCTGAACCTTCAGCAAAAACATAGTAACATCTAAGTTCTGAGACTCCATGAAACTTTCTGATGTTATAATTATTAATTAATTAATAAGAAATATGATGTCGAAAAATTAATTAGAAAGCATTTTGAGCGCTTGACATTTTTTGTCACATCTTTTTCGGCACTTAAATCTTAAATGATAAAATAATAAGTATCCGGAAGAGAAAATGCATATGAGTTGATTTTTAAAATTGGTTCTTATGGTTTAAGCGTATCACGCGAGTTAATTCGCATTCAATCGGGCGGAAAAATCTGATTAGTCACATCGATCAGAGACAAAGTACATATATATAGAACGATCGACTAGTTTTGCACGAAACAAGATCTCATTTCCAGCTGGCTACGTAGCGGCAGAAATATAAAGAGAAAGAGAGACGTAAAAAAAAAAGTATATAGAGAGAAGGAGACATGCATTGCCGGCAGCGCGCGAGCTGTACCTTTTTCCTCTCTTGTTCGTTCCGCGCGCATGAGAGACGCTCTCGAGCATCTCGATGGAGAGCGGTAACTTTCTAAAGATGACCAACGGTCGCCTACGGGAGACCTCGATTCTGGTCCCTCTGTAGATCGTTGCTCTTGGCCGAGTTCCACGGCGACCTCTTAATCACTGCGATCACCAATTTATCCATCGCGGGATTCTTATTCCCCGCGATTCGTGCACAATCGGGATACATCCGAGAATATTCCAGTGCGCTAACAAGGGACCGGAGTCATACTTTCTAGGCGTCTTAATGAATTCCATGGAGTTGCACTGATGATCGATCATGTCGTGCAATGGTATATCACTTCCTCGATCCAACTCAAGATCATTCGTTCATAATTCATTAATTGAATTGTTACCAGGAAACGTGGCGTAAATTATACTTTTTGTATCTTGCATCACATAGATATTGACAATACTCTGCGCATGCTGAGACTACGTAATCAGAAAGAATGCTAATTACGGGTATCAAACTACTCGTGCATCAAACGATGTTTAAATGTTTGAACTTATCTGTCAATGGGTACGGTCGCGATGCTGTAAACGCTTTGAAGCGTTTTTTAATTGGTCAGTTTGTAAAATTCTTTCTAATTGAGTCAATTAGTTTAATTATTCGCCCTTTAACATTATCTATTCGTTTAACTGCAAATATAATAAATTAAGGGTCACTTATTATTAACTCTCCTCAGGATTAAATTGTTACTAATTTATACTTTTCATTTTAATTTCCACTCAAAAAGCATTTGTAGCAAGATTTTGACCAATGTCTGCGGCATTTCGAACGAACAATCGCGTGGATTTGCCAGCTAAATAACTTTATTCAACGAATGTTCCATACGCGTGTAACGGATCGCATGGACTTTGTTACGGTATTTCCGGTGCAGTTTTATGTGTCAAATTCCGACTGTATATATGTGTGTGTATATATACACATATATATATATATATATATATATGTACACGTTGGGAAAAGTGCGATAAAGATCTGCATGAGCGACAAAGAACAATCCCTCGACACTCGAGGAATACATCATCAGAAATACAAATGCGAGTTTAAAGAACCGTAAGCAAGAAGAAGTCTGGGAATTTGTTCAAGATCCAACAATTATCATATGTTATACAAAATTAAATAATTAATTAATTTAATTGACAATATTTATCAAAATTTTAATATTGCAAACAAAAATGTAAAAAGAATTGAAATGTCGAATAAATCATAATATGCAATAATATATTTGTGTAGTTTAATGCATCAAATAAATTAGAATGATAAAATTTTTCATTTATCTCTCTCGGAATATTTCAACGTGTTTCGATTTTCTTTGCTGATATCACAAAAAAAAATTAACATTAATCGGAAAAATTCCGCAAAGCTTAAGAATTTCTATGAAACTTTACAAAGTCTCTAAAGTGAGACTACGTATTTGTGGGAGATCTTGTCGTTATGTACGCAATTTTCCACATGACCGTGAAAGTAGAGGCAGGAATCTCGGCATTTGCTGACTTGCGCGACAGGGTCGTCCATCAAACATTAAACGAAGTTTATCTTCTTCCGACGGTGATTTTTCCGAATGACATGACACAAATTCATCGTGATTTTCTCCACAATAGCGGAGAAAAAATTGCAGTCACATTTTGTATAAACAGGAAAAAAATCAAAAAGTCAACTATTATTTTTAATCAAAAAAGATCTATAATACTTATTTTAATGTATTCATTAGTATTATTTTATAATCATTATGTCATTTTTAATAATTTAATCATTAGAATAATTTAACCGTTATTGAAAATTTTTGTTTGTTTTCAGATGGTATCCAAATGGATTCTGATTCAAACAGTATCGTCCATTATCCAAATGTACAACGTATTTTTGTGGAAAAGGTAATTAGCACATTTATTATCTCCTATAGCGAACAATTATTTAATAATTATTAGTATTTGGTAATAATGAATTATCTATATAAGATTATCTTAGGATATAGATAAAATTATTAATAAATAATCATTTGCTTCAATAAATAATGGTTTTATTTTAATTAGGAAATTGAATGAAACATATTATATTGTCATTAATATCTCGCTTGTTTTCTTGATGTTATTTTTCTTGTTAAATTATTAAAATTGAGATCGGTTGTACAACTATTTGCATATATCACTAAACGATCTTCTTAAAGATCTATTCGTTACATATATTTCTTAAACCAGTAAATTATTCAAGACTTTGACCTGTTTGCATTACTAATACTGTTATATTTGTATGATGTATCAAAATAAAATCGAGTTAAATAAGAAACATAAAACAAAGAGATCAAGATAATATATGAATCGTGTTATAAAAGAATCTTCAATGATTTACTATTGCACTTTACTTACAGTGAGTACAAAAAGTACAACGAGTATTATATTACAAAAAGTATTCGTGCAGAGAAAATATTTTATTTAAAAAAATTAAATATTATCTAGCGAGAAATGAGTCATCGAATTAACATCGAATCAATATCGATACAATGATTTCAACATCAATTTGACGTCAATTCGACGTTTAATGATCATTTCTTGCTGAGTAATTAACAATTTATTCATAAAGAATAAAATAGACTATATATTTCTTAAAATTATATATACCAAAAAAATATATGTATTAATTATAGAAAATATCGTCTGAAAAATAAGCGAAAATTAAAAATTCCGTTGTTTGGATACTTAAAAAGTATTCGTACAGTCGAGAAATTTAGCTTCTAATGTCAGAAATACATGCGAAGCTCGTTTGTTTATGTTAGAACAGAATGTATTCATTGTATAAAATTGCTAATTAATATTTATTTTCTACTCTAAAAATAAGACTTTTTTTATAAAATATTTTTGCTCTCACTGTATTTATTACTATATTCAAAAACATCAAAACATGAAAAATCAGTAAATATTGATAATAGTATTCTAAATTTATTCGCATACTTTAGTTGATTTCTCCAATGCGACACAAAAAAACCAGTTACAGCTATCAATATGATAGAGAATTTTTAATAATAAGAGAAAAAAAGAAGAAAACGTAAAGTCACCTTTCATCTATAATATAAAAGTAACACGTCCCAGTTTTGCTCATACATATGTATAGATGTAGGCGCTAACTTTTGCGACAACATACGATATCTGATATAACGTGCCGAATAAATTAACATATGCATAGATCGCGGAAAGAAAAAAGAAATTCCCAATCGATGGTACTGTTAGTGATAAAAATATACACGGAAGATGCAATGCGAAAGAGAGAACGGGCCGCTTATTACCGCGCCGCTGGGTATCGCAATTCGCAACACGGGGCAGCTGTCTAGCTTGTACTTGCACTTGCGCTTACAGCAGTCTTACCTTCATTCGCCTTATGCCGAGGAATGACTTGCTAATAACACGAATCGTTATCTAACGAGAGGGAATCGGACGTTCCGCGTGGAACAATATATTCTCTCTTTCGCAGAGAACGAGCAGCCTACCGATAATGACAGATGAGCGCCGAAAATGAACGGGTAAACTGGTTCGTAAATTGTACTTCGCGTCCACAACGTTATCTGCATCCTGATTTCTCTGACACTGCGTTATTCATATATATTCCACGTGATTATTTCCCTGACATGCTTAATTCCATTATTCTAGAGATTCTAGAGAGAAATATAGAAAACATGAATAATTTACATATGTATATATCTAATTGGCTGCAAATAAATATAAAAAAAAATTTAATTGATTTAAATTTATCGATTCAGATCGATATACAGATTTGGTAACATGCAATAATTAATGTGGCTGTACCATTATAATTCTTTTTAGTATGAAGATGAAGAAGTGCTCGATATCGACACCCTCAACAATACGAAGAGAGCTGATCGGCAGGTTCTATTCTTTAATCGTGTGCCGAAAGTCGGTTCACAGACCTTTATGGAGCTATTAAGGAGGCTGTCAATAAGGAATGCATTTTCGTTCAACAGGGACCGCGTACAGCGGGTTGAGACCATACGTCTCGCGCCGATCGAGCAGGTACGACGACCTCCAACAAGAAAATCCAATCAATTACCATCAATTGCGTGATGTCAGCCGCTTGCATAGTAATTACCAGTTTAATTTACAATCCTGTCACCGCTGAGTCCTACAAGGTGATACAAAAATATGATGATATTACCGATCCAATGACTTCAACGCTAAAACGTTTTATCACTTCCTTTTTTTACTTGGAGTTCTCTCATCTTGATAAAATTATAAGGCTAAGAGAGAAAAAAAGAACGGGAAAAGATGTCACTAGATAAAGTATAAAAGAAGAGATGGAAAATGTAACAATAAGTATTAGGATAAAGAAAGACTATAAGAATCCATGCAATTTAAGGAGACGTTTGAAGTAAACATTTGACTCTTTTTAAAAAATCTTATTTCCTGCTACGGGATTTATTACAGGCTTACAATAACGAAAATAATAATGAATGATTAATCACTTTTTGCAATATCCTTCTCAAAATACTATATAGCCTGTAGTGCAGATTGTATATAATTTTCATTTAACTTTCTTTATGCTTTCAGTTACATCTCGCCAGAATGGTCAGCAGTTATTTGGAACCGTCTGTTTACGTGAAGCACGTCTGCTTTACTAACTTCACAGAGTGAGTACCACGAGATTATCCTTGGCAATTTAAATGATTGCTACTGCCATTGCTTTTCTACTTTCTTGCATCTTCTTCGTCAGATTCCATCTACCGGAGCCGATTTATATCAACATAGTACGCGATCCTGTGGAAAGGGTCATATCTTGGTATTATTATGTAAGAGCACCATGGTACTATGTGGAGAGGAAGCAGATCTTCCCGGATCTACCGTTGCCCGATCCCAATTGGCTCAAAAAGGACTTCGAGTCGTGCGTATTGAAGGGTGATCGAGAGTGCAGATATTTGCAGGGTGAGATCCACGAGGGCATCGGCGATCATCGTAGACAAACTCTCTTCTTTTGCGGACACAGTGAAAAGTGCACGTAAGAATGTTTGTTCGCAAAATATTAGGAAATTATTTTTTGTATAAATAAATTAAAATCCATCATATAAAAGTTTACAGTAACAAACTTTAAATAACATGATGATAATGTACAATTATATTTTTATAATTATTATGAAATGCACAAGTGACATTCTAACATACTTTTCTTCCAAAAGTCCTTTTAATACCATTGGTGCTTTGGAGCGAGCCAAGTTGGCGGTGGAAAAGCATTATGCGGTAGTTGGCGTTTTGGAAGATATAAATACAACTCTTACGGTACTAGAAAACTACATACCACGATTTTTCCAGGGAGCTACTGATGTTTACTATGGTAAGCCATTGATAAATTGCTCAACAAATCTTAAAATCTTTAGCTTGATCAAACATTAATTCATCAACATATCATATTTTTATATTTGCGTACTATCTTTTTATAAACATGATTAGTCAAATATACTGCAATGATAAAAAGAGAGAGTTCAAATCATCTTTTAAACATTATTTAAAAATATATATATATTGCAATTAATACAAAAATAATCTCAAATATTACGTTGCTACCATAAATTATTAAAATTATATTATTCTTACGTTATCTAAATAATTGTGTCTTTCAATTTTTTTAGATCAAACAAATTCCTTTATGAGGATCAATCGAAATTTCTTTAAACCGCCAGTCAGCGAGGAAGTGAAGAACTTGGTACGCAGCAACTTTACTCGTGAAGTCGAATTCTACCAATTCTGCAAGCAGCGACTTTATAGACAATACAGAGCTCTCAAATTGCGATCGAATGTTCCGTAGTCTGCAATCATAATGTGATCTCTAAAAAGAACATCTTTTCTATCTGTTATCACATGCGAAGGCAATTATTAAATTACGTAAAAGACATTGTACGTATAAAGAATAGAAAAACTTTAATGCAATTGCATTTATTAATGTTAATGATTCGATAAAGATCTACAAAAAATTATAATTGCTTTTGATTAATAATAATAATTTTAATAATAAAAATCTTCTAATTAAATAATGCAAAATTAAATAATGCAAAAAATTAATTTTCTATTGTACAAGAATATGAGAGTTAAATAATAATTTTTAGACTAATATATTATTGTAGATCAATATGATAGATATGTGCTCTATTTGTTCAGTCATTACAATATTATTGAGATTGAAATTTTAATAATGGCATATTTGCCAAAATCAGATGCTCGTGATGTTTTATTGAGGATTTGATTATAATAGCTATTTTACGAGTAAAAGACAAAAAAAAATAAATTTTTCTTTACAATAAATGCAATGTCGATTAATGTGATCTTAAGTGACATGATATACTTAAAAAAATCTAAGGAAACAAAATCTCATGACATCAAATTTTTAACTATAATGATTCGATGATATCAAAGAAAATTTTACGATAAAAAGAAAATAATTGATTCTTCGCGTGACTACTGTGATGATCTAGTTCCATGCTTTTAAGAAAATTTTGATAGATCTATTATAAAGAAACAAAAAATCTTATGATGTTGTCAAATTTTTTATATATAATATATTGTCGATCTCATGATATAAAAAAACAAAGAAAATAATTTGGAAGTTATGAGATGAAGTTTGATGCATTTAAACAAATTTTGATAGACTTATCTAATAACAGAATTTAATATAAATACATCTAAAATAATAATTAAAGAAAGAAAATATAGTTTCCATGCATTTAGCAAAATGTTTATAGAGTTCCAAGTTTCGGTAAAAAAATGATTTACCGTATGAAACTTGTTATAACACTAATAATAAATGTATCACGCAACCCAGAAATAGAGACACTCTGAGTAAATGCCGAATGATTACTTGCGACTCGGACGTCATGTGGCTATCTTTTTAATAGACGTCACCATACGAGTTACCTGCAAATTCTAGGCATTTTTTATCATTGTAGGGATATTTCTCGTTAATGAATAGTATTTGCAATGATTTTTCTCGTCAGTGACTTATGATGCAAAGACTGATAAAACCATGATATTTTTTATCGCGGAGTGTTTGCAATTATAGAGAAAAATGTACAGGGTAACGATTACTAGAATATATCGCTTTTGTAAGAGAAAAATACGTTTGTATCTCATTAACTTACGATTATTTGGAATAAAATGCTGCCATTTGAAAAGGAACAATCACCTTTACTCATCTTTTATTTAATTGTCTTATCGTTGAATTATTTGTTAACGTGTCTTTTCAATTTATTATGCTATTCAGTATTAAAATTCTGCATCCAATTACCAATTGATAATAATAAACAAAAAATCTGATCTTTTTAATATTATATTGGGGAATATTTAAATATTTAAGCAGAATATTAATACATGTTATTTCAATTTTTCATATTAAAAATCTACACGTAGTATTTATCGTTTAAACGAAGAGTATGTGCCAAGTTATATCCGGCGATACAACTAGAAGTCTATAGCGTTATTTTTATTTTGAGAATCTAAAGCAAGATTCATAAATATACACCAAACCATGACGTGTGCGTTTATGTACTTTCTTAAATTAACGAATGAGCTAATATAAATTTTATTTAGCACTTACAATTTAGGTACCTAATGTGAATTTAGTATTTAAAGTTAGACGAATTATAAATAAGACTTAAAAATAGATTTTCCTGATCGTAAAACAGAAAAAAATACGAA